ACGGTACTCGAACCCGCTTCTTTCGCTTACCGGGCAGTTGCGCCATCCATTACGCTAGGCCCCTCTCAGCTGGATGGCTTTTGTGCCATAGCCTTCCAGCAGGCAGGGACAGCCGAGTGGATAAAAATGTACACTCATGCTCGCACTCTAAGCCACGAGTTTGATCCCTGCCCACAAACATGCCTTGCAAAAGCTGCAAAAATGGTGACGATACCAGCGTGGCCCAGGTTTACAGGTCCACTGATGGAAAAAACCATCACAACAACCATAGCCAGCCGCAAAAGTATCAGTGTTGAAGGTAGGACGTCACCCGGAAGTGGCGCTCAGAACCGTCGTTTCTCAAAACCGTCAAGGATACAAAGTACTGCCTGGGGAAGAGCTGCGCCCTCAGCGCATACCTTCCTGGCAAGCATCACCATAGAGCTCCACAAGAAAACGAGGGTAAGAACCGAGCGGAGAATCCAGTGGTGAACATGCACAAGGCAGTAAAGGATAGCTTCGGCAGAATACTGGAGGCTGGGCTCAGAGACTCTCATGGGCCAGTCCAGGACACCTGGACCTACGCGGTAGATGACATCCTACAGTGGGCAAAGGAAGTCTTGGAAGAGACGTGAGGTGGGATCAGAGGAAACAAGGCAGCGTGGTTCTGGAACCAGGAAGTCCAGGGCATCGTTATGCAGAAAGAGGAAGCATACAAACACTGGCAGAAGACAGGCAGCCCGGAAGGCCTCACTGCCTATAGGAGCTGGAAGCGACTCGCTAAAGCAGCCGTTGCCAAGGCCAAGAATATGGGAATGGACGCCCTGTACGAGAAGCTGGAAGTCGGAGGCGGCAAGTTCGTCTTCTGCCTGGCTAAAGCCCCGCACCGCGCTGCTCAGGACATTACGGTAGTGAAGACTGTAAAGAGCAGCAACGGCCATTCTCAGAGAACCAGCCGAAGTAAGTAAGAGGTGGGAAGAATATTTCGAGGGACTCCTGAATGAGAGTTCCGCGCAAGGATAGCCCACAGATAGAGGCGACGGCAGGTCTTGTCACTCCTTGGACAGAGGATGAGGTCCACCGAGAACCAGGAACGATGAAGGCTGGAAAGGCAGGGCGTCCAGACGGGTACCGAAAGAGGCATGGAAGGTCCTTGGAGAGCGATGTGAGTTGGATCACACACTTCCTAAACAACGTAACGGCTAAATGAAGGATGCCGGATGCGTGGAGGAGCAGCACAATCGTTCCCACCTTTAAACAGAAAGGTGACGCGACGGAGTGCTGCACCCACAAAAGCATCAAGTCGACTCCCCATACCATGAAGCTGTACAAGCGCCTGGTCAACACTAGGCTAAGGGAGTTTGCCCTATCTGCAGGAACAGTTCGCCTTCATGCCCGAGAGGTCCACCATCGATGCCATCTTCATCGCCAGACAGCTGATGGAGAAGTAACGAGAGAAGCGTCGACCTTGCTACCTAGCCTTGCTGGATCTCGAGAAGTCCTCTGACCGCCCGATTCGGCCTGTACTCTGGAAAACGTCTACAGAACGTACCATTCCGGAGCACCTGGTCTCCATAGTGAAGGACATGTACGATGGAGCTAAGACAGCTCTACGCATCCTCACGGCTTGACAAAGGAGGTGGACATCACGGTTGGGGTGTACCAACGATCAGCTATCAGCCCGTTCCTCTTCATCCTGACTGTGGATGTCATGGTAGAGGAACTCATGGAGGGGCCACTAAAAAACTATCCTCTACGCTGACGACATCGCTCTGACAACGGATAGCAGAGAAGAACTCCAGGATAGCGGTGCAGCGGTGGCAGGAAGTGCTCACTGAGGACGGACTCCGGCTGAACGTGAAGAGAACCAAGTTACGCTCCGAAGAGTGTACAGAACCCATCGTAGACCGCCACGACGAAAGCATCAAAAGGGTGAAGGACTTCCACTACCTGAGGAGCGACCTAGCAGCTGATGGCACCGTAGACCAGGCGGTGAAAACCCGAAGCAATGCAGCCTGGATGGAATGGAGGGAGCCCGCTGGCATCTTATGCGACCGACGGTGCTCGAGTAGGCTCAAGGGCAAGGTATACCGTTTGGTGGTAGGGCCTACAATGCTCTGCGGAGTGAGTGCTGGCCCATATGCAAGAACCATGAAAGGCAGCTCCACTCAGCTGAAATGGGGATGCTGAGATGGGCCTGCGGCTGGACACGACTCGACAGAGTCAAAAACGAGGACGTTAGGGCGGTCACACAGACGGGCCCCAGTCCAGCTGAAGGCATGGGCACAGCGACTGCGCTTTTGTGGGTACGAAATAAGGAGGCCTGGAGCCCACTCAGTAAGGAAGGCTTGGAATTCAAAGTAGAGGGCAAGCGACCACGAAAGGCTCCAAAGAAAAGATGGAGGGATGTCATCAAGAAGGACCTCACTGGGGTGAAGGCCACGGCAGAAGATGCAGCGGAACAAGTGGCGACGTCTAATAAGAGCAGCAGTCCCTGCGACGGCGCGGGACTAACGCTTGAGAGAAGAAGAAGTAAGAAGAATAGCCTCCCAGCGCTCACACGCACACTGCAAAGCATAACCATAGTTCCACGCATGAATCTCACAAAATCCTGCCTTACACGAAGTTTTCCAAAATCCCCCATTCAAAAAATATGGTAATTACCAATACCAATTCGCATGCCAACAACAAACACTAACTTGAAAAAACATTTTTTTTGTCAATTTTTTCAAAAATGGTCGTTCTGGCAACGCAGCAAAATGATAGTTTCACCGAACAAATCGTATTCCAACAACAAATGTACAATAAAATCCAGTAATCTATTGGAACTTTGTCTCCAATTATGTTGGAAAATACGGTTGCCCATGTTCTAGGAGAGATTTAATAGGCTTTCGGCCGACTGACCAATGATTAACTTCTTAGGCTCACGGAAATTGTGGAATTGTGCATTACTCTCATGGATCATACGCACCATGAAGCCCCTCACATCCTAGATTGGGTTTTAGTCGGGGCTACTAGCTGGCCAGAACAAGAGCGATTTGGTGACGACTGAACCACGCTCGAGTGCCTAGACTGCCATGAACTGGCACATTATCCTGCATTGAAACGGGACTTTCTTGCTGATTTCTACGCCCAAAAGCAAGGAGACGTTGTAGCGTGACTTTTAGATAACGGAAGAAATCATTTATTTTTTCATACGGAGCGCAGTTTCAGACGTTCCATTCAAGCGATGGCAGCCCAGACCATGAGACCACATCCACTGAAGTTCTCCAGAAAAATGAAACTTGTCTTCCCTCAGTCGTGCCAGCGGAATCCGTTTTTTTAGGAGCCGTCGCAGTTGAATTTTTCTCTCATCAAAAAATACGACCGCGAGAAAAAACACTAAAAAAAGCACAACAGACAAGCGACAGGGCACCGCAGCCAAAAGCCAACCACACGCCATTGGGTTCGGCAACATCTTCGAGCAAAGCCAATTAGGTTTTCGCAATGGTTTTTTGTTATAAACAGACGTAACTCATATTCCTCCTATGGGTGAACTCGGGAGTTTTCCAAGACACGCCTAACAGTATCCTCCGAGACATTAACCTGCGAAGATGATTTAATTTCCCGACACGACACTGCAGAGTTGGATGCTTTATTGAGGATACGGCGGTTATTCCGATCGGGCAGCAAAGGAGGATGTCCAGAGTTCTTCTCACTCAATATGCTGTAGGTCCCTTGGGAAAAATTGTTTATAGAGTGATGAGTGCGGCCCGAATCCCGAGCGATCGACGCTTCACCATCGTTTGAGTCTTCTTTGCGATAATCTATACTTTTTCGAGGTCCATTAGGCAAGTTCCACTTGCCGTAGCCTACAAGAGGCGAGAAGTCATAAAGATGAGAAGTTTCATCGAACAAAAATGAGATGCAGCCGGAAAATATACGGTGGAACCATATTTTTGCTGCGTTGTCAGAACGACCATTTTTGAAAAAATTGACGAAAAAAAATTGTTTTTTCAGACTAGAGTTTGGTGTTAGCATGTGAATCGGTAATGGTGATTACCACATTTTCTGTATGAGGGCATTTTTGAAAACGTGGTGCAAGACGGGATTTTGTGAGAATCATTGGTGGAATTATGATTATGCTTCGCAGTGTATAACGTGATAAGCCGGTAAGCCGCCATCGGCAGTGAACCGCGAGGCTGAAAGCATCTACGGTTCTGCAATTGTTTTTGTTTGATAACAGCTGTTTAACGCTGCAGTGTGCGCTTCGAAGGTTGTCACGGAAGTGCGAGTTCAGGGCAAGAGTCAGACCTCGGACGGGACTCGAACCCGCATCTACTGCTTCCGCAGGCGTCCTTTCGCAGGCGCTTGACTTTCTTCTTCCGGCAGACCTCGGCACAATAGCAATACTGTTCCGCCTCTGAATGGACCGGACTGCAACAAAGTGATCTCTCGATAGACATCGGTCGATCACATCGAGCAGCACCATTGAATACCCACAGAAGAGTTTTCTCCAAGCGTATGGGTAGAACATTGATTATCAAGATGAGAGCTGGTACCCCGAGGAACGCTGGCAGCTGCAACTGACTTGTGACTGGACCGCGGGTTACCGGTTTTTATCTAGCTTGATTCTGCATTGCAGACAACACTGTATAGCAAAACCTGGCACGACGGCATTTTTTTTCGAAAGTGATGGCATGTTGCCGAAGTCCGCAGCTGCAGTCTTCGATGTGCATACAGAGACGCTTTTCCTAATCACATGTGTTAACCTTTAGTTTCCACTTTTACAAACCGTTCTCATTTGTTATGAGATTAGATATCCATTTCTGGCAGTTACTTTATCGGCGATTTCCTTGACTTTATCATAAACAGATTTTGTTTGTATTTCTGCCACCGTACTGCTCGAAGTAAAGGGATCTCCTAACGCACTTTGGTTTGATTTGGTGCATGGTAACTGTTGAAGCGTCTCCTCGTTAGAAAATACGAAGACGTTCTGTGTTGTGATATTTTGCAAAAAGCAAAATTATGCGAGCAACTTCTCAAGAAAAGCTTTCAAAACTTGCGCTGGAGCTGTCGATACGGATAGAACGTACCTTGTAAACTTGACCATAGGTTCCATTACCGACAACCTCAATCAGCTCGAAAATTCCGGCAGGATCCTTAAAAGATAACTCAAGGAGGAACAACTCGCGTACTCGAATACCCACCCTGAGCGTGTTTAGGTCAATTTCGTCGAGCGCCGCACCGGGGTTGTGGTCCATGTAGACGATAAAAAAATCTTGCGAGATGCCACCTATAAGCTGTAGAAAAATAAGTTCAATTTCATGTCTGCGACACCATACAGCACATGATAAAACATCTTAAGATCCTAAAAAGGATAATATGAGGCAACTGCAGCAAGGGAAATGCAACTTTGAAACGGAAATATCCAGTAAAAAGTAGCTACCACGCTAACACAAACAACAAGCTGCACCCCTTTAAAATTACCATACATGTACTGTGGCGATGTCACAGCATGTGTGAGATTGCGGGTTCAGCCCAAAATACTTACAGTAGCGGTCAGAATTTGGGGGAATTCCTCTTCTTTCTGTTCCGTTATGCTCAGTAGAAGACAAAATCATTTTGAGTCAATACAGCTGATGTAAAATCATGTTGGAGAAAGAAGAATATAAACTCTCTCTGACCATGAGGGTCTTTCAGGAGATGGAGGACTTTTTCGAGATGGTTTTTTGAATGATGTAGGTACAAAGGCATTAACTACGAGACTGGGCTTCACTATGCCTGCGCGAATCTGGGAAAGCCAAAAAGAGGTTAAAATACGCGGTAAGGTAACTGTGGCGTACTGTAAAGCGGAGGGGGTTCTCATCAAAATGCTAGCACTTGCATGTAGCCTTAGTTCACTTAGCTGCCTGCTTAACTACTGCCCTCACACCTGCAAGCTAACATAAACGGATAAGTTAACAGTAGGTCAGAAATTAACAAAGGATAGTAGTTAATGCTGGTAATTAAGCCGCGGACGACATTATGACCCACCGTAGCTCACAACCTTTTGCACCATTTTTGAGTGATTGCCGACTTTCTATCGTTCCTTTTCTTGTATTTTAATGAGTTGTACAAAGTGAACTTCCAACAGAGATGAGCGGGAAAAACGTGGCCGTGTTCATCAAATATTATTCGGAAGTTGGAATTTTTCAACTGTCTCAATGCCAAAAACCTCCAATATAATTCTTTCTAGATCGAACCTTGATTGTGGGGAGTGCTCGGGGCTCTGATCATCGAACCTTGATTGTGGGGACTGCTCGGGGCTCTGATCGCGACTTACACATAGGATGGGTCGGCGGGTCGGCACCATATGGCACCAACAAGCGCGATTTAAGCGTCTCCAGTATTTTCTGTACCAAATACGGTATAAATTCCTACACGTAGGTTATTCGATATCCTTACTGCAGAGGGCACCTAACTCGATATAAACCTCTATATTTTGGCCAATTCACATCCTCATTAGGGGAACGCCCTTTACTTTCAGTGTTGGCGCCATGTGGCGCCAGTGGGCACCAACTTGGCGCCGCAGCCTTTTACAGCGAGAATCGATGTAAACGTGAGCACTGCACGTTTGACAGCCTAACAAGAAATACAGCGCTTATTTTCGAAGCCAACTTACGTAAAGCACCCTTGTTGTGTCCACTCTGCCAAGCCTGAGCGTGGGAAAAGAAATCATATTCTCCTGGAATTCTTTTGGAGAGCTCTTAAAAGCGCCCATCCCGTAATAATGTGTTGTTATAGGTGTCAATGATTTATTGTATAAATGTGAGAAAATAAAAATGCTAAAAAGCCACAAAAGCAAAAGTTGTAGTATGAAACTCAGAAAATCACGATCGCGCCGAAAAGTGGGCGTGATCGAGGGACGTGGGGCTTGAGGTGGAGTTCAATGTGATCATGGATGGTAGAAATAGCAACAACTGCAAAATTGCTTGGTTTGTGAGATTTGATAGAGCGGCGAAAAAGTAGTCCGAGAGGGACAATATGAGCCACCGATGGCTCACAGCCGGCGCATGCGAAAGAACGCCGCTGTTCCACACGGCGCTTTCCGCCGAACGCGATTGTCGCCAACGTGTGAAGTAAGTTCGTGCAAGGCCAGGAGATGGACGGGGAGACTACACAGAAACGACTGTTCAGTAGAGCAACCGACGGATTCGGTTTTTGGTCACATAAGTGAAATCTTCCTTTGTCGTACACTAGTCCATAGTCCACAAACCTGTCGTCTCTTATTCATACGGATTTAGGTCTTATAGTATTACCAGCCGGCTGGCCGGCTGACGCCTTCGCACCTCCTTCCGTGTTACGGCTCGGCTTTGCAGGGCGGGTGCGGTTTCGCCGCGCTTACCTCCTTCTACGCTGGATACCTAACGATTATCCGGCTTTTATTTCACCTGTACACAAGTGAGTGTTGACGACAAAGTCGTCTTCAAGATTGGGGGAGTTACACTAGTTTGAATTGTATCTCTGAGCTTATTCTCTTAGCGAGTTCTCTATCTCTCCATGAGTCATTGTAACTTGATTTATAGCGAATCGATGAGCAATTGGAGGAATGCCAGTAAGAAGGCGTTAGCAGAGCGACGGGCGAAAACGGCGTACTATTTAAGCAGCAGATGGCCCAGCTGGGAAGTCAGACGGTTGGTCAAGTCTTCAACAGTCTTCCGAAGTACACATACACTCCACGGTGCTCAATATCTTCCTCTCAATATTCCGGCCTCAACATTATTCCTAAGTCGTAGTTGTTCTAGTTCGAACTCTCCTTACATTCAACGGCTTCTCCTTTGATGGACCTGATTATCGTAGCTGTATGAACATGATGAATTCTCTTAAGCCTTCTTCAGTTGTGCCTCCTCGCTCTCGAATTGCTCTTACTATGCGTATTCATTACCTTATTCACAGCCTCCTGAATCAGCTCTCAATCACTTGTAATCTCATCTGTAGCATTTGTAATTGTATATATTTACTAGTCATTTATTTAGTACATTAGATGAACTTTAATCACCCAAGTTTGAGGTAGTCTCCCCAAACTCAAGTGGTCAAATCCGCGTGGCATACTTATCTATTTGGAGTAAGTGCGAGCAGCTATCTTGTGTAGAAGACTTATCCTCAAGTGTCAAACGCAAGTCTTGAGTGCGTTTCACAGAAATTTTGTCTGTCTCCGCCTACCTCGGGTTGGGTCCGCCCACAACGTGTGTGCCCCACATTTCTTAACCGGCGACCGACCTTAAGCCGCTTTTATCCTATCTTTGAAGTCCCCGGAACCGTTTTACAGAACTTTTGTCTGTCTCCGCCCAACTCGGGCTGGCTCCACCCACAACACGTATACCCCATATTTCTCAATCGGCGACCCTTTGCTGACCCTAAATCACTTTTTTCCGGCATCTGGATTGCTCTGGAACCAAGCTACAAATTTTTGAAATGGGCATCCTATAATTGGAGCAAGCTCCGCCAACTGCGGGCGGGTCTCAAAATACAAATACCTGAGACATGCCGAACTCTCCGCAGGTGTTCCTCTCCCACACCGACTTTTTTCTGAACTCTCTTGGGAACCGAGTTAATGAATTTCGTGGGAAGCACCGCCTATCTCAAAGACGCCCCGGCAATTTCGAGCATGCCTCTTCTAATTAGTCTGATAACCCCTTGCTAACCTTATTCCACTTTTTCCTCAACTGTGGGCTGGAAACGACTTAGGAATTTTTCTTCTGCGGCTCCGTCATCTTTCAGGGCATGGCATGCCCCACGGGCGCTATTTACATCTTGCCCAATGCCCTACCCATACCCACCTTGACCCGACCTCTCCAAGTTGTTCTTCAGGTCGAACCGAATTTCCGGACAGAGAAACAAACAAACAGACGAAGCAATTCATATATAGTGGGCTATTATGAGGTGTGACCGTCTCTCAAAACGTGGAGGAGGATTAGCTATGTTTATCAAGAATGTTTTTTCACCTATGACTTTTTTTCTGGTCACTGGCGAATGTAGATGAAACCTTATGTTGTGGTTTCTGTATCAGATTGTCGAAATTGCTGATCACACTGGTTTGTCGAGCACCCAGCTGCACACAATTCAAATCAGTTCCAAAGCAACCAGCTACATGCTTTCGTGTAATCAGCCCTCTCTAATTGTTGGGGAATTCGAACTTCCCATGTATTAAAAGGGAATTTCGGTTTCATTCTCAACTGAATCGAATTACGCTTGCTGCTCGAACTTTTTGCAAATGTGTAACCGTCATTCATTGAGTCAGTTCTTCAATACTGCAAGGTTGAATGGGAGGGTCTTTGATTTAGTTTTGTCCAATGAAAAGAGGTTGATCGAGAACATGGAAGTATGCTCACCCATTAGTGCCAGTGATCACGCATCTATTATATTCACTATCAATGCTCATATGTTCAAAGACGAAGCAATAAAGAAGGGATTCGGGTAAAGTCAATTGAGAGAGTATTATATGTTGCCCACAAATATTGATTGGCTTGGCTCTCTAAATTGTGCAGACACGGTTGATGCCAAATAATAACTGTTTTTATGAGTTCTCACGGACTGCATTGAACGTCTCGTAGCATTAGCAGAAAAGTCGTTTGGAGATTCAGCCTTAGCTCCCTGTCTTGCTAGTCCCACTCAGAGGCGTGAGTTGGCATGGCATAAGGCACGGATAACCAATAACTCAGCTGATGAAATGGAGTTAGAGCGATTAATAAAAAGTTAGAAAGGAAACTCAAAAATTCAGTTCGTCAGTTGTGGAGAAACTCATTACTCCGAAAAACAAAGTCGCATTCTTAAAGCTCCTAAAGTCACGTTTGACTAAAAAAATCCAAGGTTACAGCGCTTGTTTCTCACAATGGAACCCCGTTTTATGATGACAAGCAAAGTGGAGTTATTGGCGACTAGTTTTCATGAGAACTTTTGTTATCAGATCAGGCCGCTGAGAAGCAAGATTCGCTTCCGAATGGCCGCAAACAAATGCGCCCACGCCGGACCTGACAAACCTTCATTTCATAAAAACGTGGCTCACTGTCTACGATCCTAAAGACAGCCCCCGCGATCAAAGTGGCTCGTGGTCGCCGTTGCTGCTCAAGTAGTCTAGCCTCCAAGCTAGAAGACTGTTCACCTTTCGCGACTCTATTGTGAGCGTGGAGGCTGCTATAGCCGCTCAAAGTGCTAGTTCTAACTCCTCCTCAGTCGGAACCGCCTTTACTTGCTAGATGTCCTTCGACGGAGGCCACTCACTTGTTTCTTAGTTGGGGAGGCGGGCATCTAATGCCCCTGGATAATTCTGCTTGTCGCGGATGCGACGTTCGCCGTTGGCGCACTTCGCGCGCGGCCCATCGCCGCTCGGTTCCACGGCGTGCGCTTTCACGTGCACGCGTGGTTCCGCCCCTTGCGGTCGTAGCCAGTGTAGTACGTCCGCGTGGCTGGCAGCCGGTGCCGTTGGTTTTCACGGGTAACGCCAGGACAGGCGCCAAGGCGGAGGGTGGAACCATCTGAAGAAGGGGGCAGCTCGAGCGCCGGCCATGAGCCGACCGATGTTCATCCCTGCTCCCCGACTGGGAGCAGCCTCTGCTCCAGCCCCGACAAGGACATCGACGACCGCATGGAGGCAAGAGGGTTACCGCGGCAGGATGGGGCCTAATACGTATGGGGGGATGTAGCCTACGGGCCTTGCGTACTTCAGAGGGGCAACGGCCATGGGGCGCCTAATGCGTGGGTCGGCTATGGAACGAAACCCATGGAGAACGGCGGCCAGGGGAGAACAATCCTTGTAGTACGGTGAGTAGTTTCGTTAATAAATGATGTAGATTATTTAGTGTTTTGTTTGTTATCATAATGGTATTTACCATGGATGTTTACTGTATTGCTATGTGTTACTATGTGTAGGTGTCGTTACCATGGTGGTACCATGGTGGTTGGTATACGGGGTAGGATCACGGCCTTCGTGCGGCGCGGTACGGTGGAGGCGGTGGTGGAGTTGAGGGACGGCGGTCTCGTGCGGCACGGTACGCTGGAGACGCCGTGGACGGTTGGGGGGTCGGTAAGGTGCCCGCCGTAGGGAAACCCCATGGTCCCCGGGGGTTAGGTCCGCCCTTCCTGTGCGGGTGCGCAGGAAGGGTGTGGTAGAGCGATGGGACGCGGGAGCCGCGATTACCACCGATGTCGATCGCGTCAGTAGGGTGCCAGGTGTCCGCGACATGGTGCATCTAGGCCGTGTGAAACGGACCCGCATGTTCCCGAAGCAAGACCTGGGAACATTGCCGGAGATGGCCCCACTGAGCCGCTCCCGACCCATCGTAATCACCATGGCTGATGGATCCGGTGGTAAGG